AGGCCAGTGAACCATCTAGTCCAGCGTCCGGTTAATACTGTGGCCAACCGGACAACAGTGGAAAGCCTGCAAAAAGGATGTGAGTGCTGCAATATTACACCATTTGGGGGTGGAACTTGAGTCCCCAGTTTTGAGAGTTATTTACAACTAGGTTCCATGTTCAGCTTTTTCTAATAATTGGAAAATCTTCAGGCTCTAAATCATTGGGTAGCATAATAATAATAATAATAATAATAATAATAATAATAATTGTATTTATACCTTGCCCATCTGGCTGGGTTTTCCCCAGCCACTCTGGGCAGCTTACAGCATATCTAAAAATACAATAAAAACGTCAAGCATTAAAAAAACCTTCCGATACAGGGCTGCCTTCAGATGTCTTCTAAAAGTTGTGTACAGTGGTACCTCGGGTTACAGACGCTTCAGGTTACAGATGCTTCAGGTTACAGACTACGCTAACCCAGGAATAGTACCTCGGATTAAGAACTTTGCTTCAGGATGAGAACAGAAATCGTGCTCCGGCGGCGCAGCAGCAGCAGGAGGCCCCATTAGCTAAAGTGGTGCTTCAGGTTAAGAACAGTTTCAGGTTAAGAACGGACCTCCAGAATGAATTAAGTTCTTAACCCGAGGTACCACTGTAATTCTTTATTTCCTTGACATCTGATGGGAGGACATTCCACAGAGAGGGTGACACTACCGAGAAGGCCCTCTGCCTGGTTCCCTGTAACTTCGTTTCTTGCAATGAGGGAAGCAGCAGAAGGCCCTCGTGCTGTATCTTAGTGTCTGGGCTGAACAATGGGGGTGGAGACGTTCCTTCAGGTATACTGGGCTGAGGCCTTTTAGGGCTTCAAAGGTCAGCACCAACACTTTGAATTGTGTTCAGAAATGTACTGGGAGCCAGTAAAAATCTTTTCGGATCGGTGTTATATGCAGCAGCGGAGGAAGCCTCTTGGGCGCCTGGGGTGGGGTGAGGGCGGGGCGCACCGTGGGGCCTCCAGAGACTGCCTGCCTCCTCCCACTCAGCCACCCTACCACTTGGGGGGAGGCAGCGGGCAGACCGTTTGGGAAGTGCAGAGCCTGTGTGCGCCCAAACCACTGCGTCTCTCCCAGGAGAGACATGTGGCTCGGGCGCACTGCAGGCCCTGCGGTGAGTGCCGCCCGGCATTTTGTCACCCCCCTCAGTGGTGACACCTGGGGTGATCCGCACCCACCGCACTCCCCTTCCTACGCCCCTGGTTATGGGGTCCCAGCGGCCACTTCCAGTCACCAGTCTAGCTGCTGCATTCTGGATTAAGCATCCCCCAGACACAATTAGCCACTCAATCAGTGGGCCTGAGCATCTTTCTACATTTGCTTGCATTATTATTATCATGCCCCAAAGCTAGTAAATATAAACATTTACATGTGAATGCTAACAATCTCCAGCATTTTGTGTGTGTGTGTGAACATCTGAAAATATAGTTGTATTTCCTCACTCTCTGGGCATACACCAGTGTACACTCATGATATCATTAAGGGTGCTGTCAACATTTATTAGTGTGTCGCTGTACATTCATAAATAGACAAATTCCATGTGAGGATGTTAGCATTCACATATAAAAGGGAACTTCCATATGTTCTGTGTGTACACTGGAGGCAAGGGATGTGGATAGGTGGGGAGAGACTGTCTATATTATTTTATACATTTCTAAGTACCAAAACCTCTTCACTCCCAAGCCATCGTAATGATATTATCTTGGAGCAAGGACCTTCCTGGAAGCCAGAAGGAAAATGATGACTAAGAAAATGCCCCCCATTGAACAGACTCAATGCTTGGATTTAATTATTGGAGAATTACAAATCAATGCTACTGTAAAACACTCTGAGGCGGCTGGGAGAAAAGTCAAGTTCATTTCTTGCCCAAGTAAATTAGATTGCAAAAGTCAGCCAAAAAATAGCAACAGTGTTTTCTTCTCTGCTGGATAGCCTTAACATTGCTTGTTTCTGGTGAGATTGTCCCATTGCCCTGTCCCGAACATTTCTTCATCCGTCACAGAGTGCTTGGGAAATGAAGAGGGAGTTCACCTTTCTCTCGCAAGATTAGGGAGCCATCCTTGCATTTGATCGCCTATTCTGGAATATATTGAGGGAATAAATAATGGTGAATGATGGCCTTCACGCTTGTGGCTTTTGCAGTTTCCAGGACTCCTTGATGGAGTTATAGCTCCTACTGCTCACAACAGTCCTGGGTCTTATTTTATATCGCACATCAATCCAAGTTCTCTTACCCTCATGCTATCACCTTTTCTGCTTTTCTGTTCTGTTCTTCCATGATGCCAAACTCTCAACTGTCCCGATTGCCATTTTCCCATCCCAACTATCTCTCCATGTTTCTGACTTGCATTTTGTTTCCCAGCTGCTTCTCCTGGCATTAAACCAATGTCTCTGTTCACACAATACACTTTGCTATGTGGAAAGCTTACACGAGGTGCTTAGCTGATTTGCTCGCATTAAGAACTGGTGGATTGCTCATCTTCAGTGCTGTCCAATGCAGTTATAGTGCAGCATTCCTGGGAATTTGTTTGCTTTTAATGTGAAATGCGCACTTTTATGTAAGACACTCTTTTGCAATACACCCCCCCAGTGTGATACAAATTTTGTATACATCCATGACATAAAATACAGGTCTTCACACACACACTTTTGGTGCATCTTCCTTCCGCAGGGCCTGTAAAACAGAACTATTCCGCCTGGCTTTCAATTTGAACTTAGACTAATCTTTTATTCCCCTTCCTTTCCTCCCTCTCCCCTTTTTATGAAGATTACCCTCTCTGGGATCCCACAGCTAATTCTCCCCTGGTCTCCTCACTGGCCCAAATAATTTAGCCAGCTAGCCCTGGTGATCATCTAATGTTTATTGGATTGCTTTTCCCCCTAAATTGATTTTTTTTTTAATTCTGAATTTATTGTTATTTACATTTTATACTGTATTTTATGCTGTTTTTGTTGCATCCATTAAGTGTTTTAAATTTGTTGTTAGCTGCCCTGAGCCCGGTTTTCTGAACCAGGAAGGGTAGGGTATAAATAAAAATTTATTATTATTATTATTATTATTATCTAAAATGCACTGCAAAATCTGGAGTGGCACACAACCCAAATGGGAGTTGCATTCCCTTCAAGCTCAGGAGAATGGGATTGAGCTGGTCCACTGCAAAAAGCAGACCAAGCAATGTCCGCTCCCATCCCTAAGCAGGCCCCAAGGTAGCAGTGCTGCCGCAGGCGCCTCAGGGCTTCTTTCTTCCACACTTGAGTGACATCACTACAGATGGTTAGATGAAGGTTCTGCAGCTACCAGTTCAACAGGACCAGGTGACCATAGTGACTGGTGTGGTTCCCCCAAGCTGCTTTCTTTGGCTTCCTGGCTCCTCTGTCAGAGTAATATCAGTCAGATACAGCAAAAGCAGAGCTCAGATTCCATGAACTCCAGCCTTGACAGGGGTTAACTTAATGGATTCTGTCTGGGTTCACTTTCTAAATGAAATGCATGGCTAACATTGTGGGGATCACAATGAGTCACTGTGGAAAAAGCAGTCTTTTCAGGTACCTTGGCATACAGATTCAGCCACTTTTATTAGGCAGGACTCATATTGTGCTCGAAAGCAGTGCAGTTGCTGGACGACTGCTACATTCTGCCATTTTCCTCATAGATATTAAGTTCAGCCCATCCATGTACTGCTTGATAAGTGCTTCTGTGTTCCTGTTGACTTATTCAAAAGAGCACAATTTTACAGCTGCTGCTTAACAGCAGCAGCAGCAGCAGTGACAACAACAACAACAACAACCAGCTGCACAAAAATCAGTGTCAGCCCTGGAATCCTACAATGGAATCCATTCCTCATCTAGTCTTTTGTGTTTAGCAAACCCCAGTGGAATCTAGAACTTGTGTAGTGCTGTGAATTTGTCTATGTGGCTATGCAAGTCCATTCCAGAAATAGAGATGGCAGTGAATTTTCCCCCGTGCAAGCCTAGAGAATAACATGGCAGCTTGCAAAAGCCCATACAGCCTAATTTGAGGGAGAAGCAGGCTTTTTAAGCGTTTAAATTCTTCTCCGGCTCAAATTGAAATCCAAGCCAGAGAGTAACTGTTGACTCCCCTCCCTTGTTATTGTCAGCCCTTGCTGCCACCCAACCCAAATATAAACCTCCTTCCCTTCACTGCAGGTGAGAGATGCAGCAGGAGACAAGAAGAGGGAGGTTACTTACTTCTTCATCATCCTGAGGGGCTGAAGAACAGCATGTCAGGGCTCAAAGTTCAGGGGACTATGAGAGATGTCTTTCTGGCAAGGGGGCTGGTGCCGATGGCCGGTTGGAAGGCTGAGGAATGGCATGGACAGAAGAAGCATGTGTCCAGGTTCCCAGATTGGCTTGGGGAAATGTTATAAGTCTGACTTTTTCTTCCCCTGGAAGAAATCACATATTTTTCTGGGTTTATCCAAGGTGAATATTTGGAGAACTCGCCCATCGCTATCTGGAAAGACTTACAGTCCCGAGAGATCTATTTTGAGGTAGCTGTGTTAGTACAGAACACTTACCAGCAATCTCAGAATAAATGAGTTTCAACAGACTTGTTGAGGGGTTTTCTTTGTGTGCGCCTGTTACTCGGATGCTGCAAGAATGTGAATCAAAGAAAAGCATTACGTTGAAGCAATAGGTGAAAGAAGAACAGAGGTTTCTGTCAAGGATGACCTGTTGTAGGGATGCTCTCCAGGAAGCAGTTACCACAATGAGTAAACCTACTTGAGGGTGGATGAGCTGGTAGTTTGTTCATAGCCAAGCAAATTAATTCATGTATGTGCACGTGTGGCAGGAACCTAAGATTCACATTAGGCCCTCAGGAAGAGTCCTCTTAAAGAAGCAAGTCAATCAAATAAGAAGGAACTTTCTTGTAGGTGTTTCTGCTTGTATTTTCCCCCCTGAGATAATGGCGCACAAGGAATCCAGATTTAACAAACCATAGCTTCAGAGCAAGAATTGAAGGTTTGGATGAGGAGCCTTTTTTCTGCCCGAGGGCCACATTTCCTCCCAGGGGCCACATGCCAGTGGTGAGCGGTGCCAGAGGCAAAAAGCAGGTGGAGCAATGGAAATGAATTTTAGTAATAGGTAAAAATTTAATGTTATATTATATTAAGATTAAGGACTGGGATTAAAAAGGAGGGAAAGGAATTGCTGGACTAACAAACTGAATTGGAATACAAAAGAGGGAGGTATGAGGAGGTCCGGGAAACAAGTAAATGTAAAAGTAGTGATGAAAAGAAGGAATTGTTTTTTAACTGTTTTTTCTTTTTTTCTTTTTGTATTTTGTTTGTGTACTTTTCTTTATATTCTTGAATTTTTCTTTTTTGTTGATGTGATTTTTTCTTTGTGAAACTTTAATAAATATCATTTAAAAAAAAAGGAAATGAATTTTAGCTTTGTACAGGAGTAGACCATATTCACACACAGCTCTCTATCCTCTATCCTGGCCAGGGCTGGCCCACCCATGAGGCAAGGTGAGGCAACAGGATCTGCAAGGGCAGCAGAGCTGACCTCCAAGGCATGCATCACCCACTGTTGCTGCCTGCCACCGTGGCAACAACAACTATGGTGTGCTCCTTGGGGACCAGATCTGTCTCCTCTCCAGCAGCGGCTCCCCCCCTGCCACCTCAACAGCTTCCTGTTGGAAAATAAGAGGAACTTCCTGTCTTCATCCTTGTTCCCAATGTAGATATTTATTCTCTGCTTGCAGATCTTCACTTGCCGCTTCTTCCCTAGTGCGGGGGGGGGGGCACCATTTTGTGATTCACCTCTGGTGCCAAAATGAACAACAACAACAACAATAATAATTAATAATAATAGTTTATTTATACCCCACCCATCTGGCTGGGTTTCCCCAGCCACTCTGGGCGGCTTCCAACAAAGTATTAAAATACAGTGGTCTGTTAAATGTTAAAAGCTTCCCTAAAGAGGGCTGCCTTCAGATGTCTTCTAAAAGTCTGGTAGTTGTTCTTCTCTTTGGCATCTGGTGGGAGGGCGTTCCACAGGGCGGGTGCCACTACTGAGAAGGCCTGGCTTCTTGCAGTGAGGGACCTGCCAGAAGGCCCTCAGCGCTGGACCTCAGTGTCCGGGCTGAACGATGGGGGTGGAGACGCTCCTTCAGGTATACTGGACTGAGGCCGTCTTGGGTCAGCTCTGATCCAGGGCAGCATTATCAGAGCTCCAGGACACGTCCCAGCAAGGCAAAAACATTCAAGGAGGGAGCACAGCAGGGCTGGTGAAGACTGTGCCCTTAGGAGAGAGACTGTGACATGGGGAAGAATCTGGAGGGCCTGGTAGAGAGGCTGCTTTTGCCCCTAGACCTGAGGTTGAAGAGTTGCTGCTGGTCAGTCCTGAACTAGATGGGCCAGTTGGTTTAAGGCAGATTCCTATCTTATTTAAGAATGTCAATAAAAGGTTCACTGTGATGCAGCCCTTATCTGCAATGTAACTAAGTAATTTCCCATTCTAGTGCTTTAATTCCATAATGCAGGCACAGCAATGTGCCCTGAAATCCCATTGTAATTGTGTATTAATCTTGTTCATGCATACTGACACAGCTGAGTGCCAACTCAGGTGGTGCTTTGTTTTTCAGCATTGAAATAAAAGCATGCAGCAGACTAAGGCATTACACAGATTAAAATTTGGGGGAAGCAGAAATTACAAACAAAATGTAATTTAGGGACTCCACTAGATTGGAAAGAAGAAAAAGCGACTTATATGCGTTGTATATGCAATATAACATTGTGCTACGAGCCCCATTTCTCTCTACCTGTTTTCCCTGTTTAGATTTATAACACGTTTAACCGAAACGCTTCTCTGATGTGTATAGATCCAGCCTAGGTGTCAGACACGCCTTTTCCAAGCAGGCCTTCCAGAGGCAAGAATCAACTTTGGAAGAAACAATATCAACAGAGCGCCATCTGCAGAGTGTCATTCACCCCTGGTTAATCGCAGCCAGTGCAACCAGGATGATGAGCCTGACTAGGTTTTCAAATCCAAGATTACAGGCTGAAGTTTTATACGGACTCATATCATCTCTAAATGAGATGCTTTTTCCATGGTGTCAGTTCACATGCTCTGCTGCCAGTCATCGGGTGTGGAGACATCTTCATGGATGTTGTTCCATGCTGTGACGATCTGAGGTTCCTTCATATAATCCCTACATCTTTTTAGAGGAAAGAAGGAAGAAAAAGAAGGATGTAAGCCCCACACTGTGGGTTAAACCACAGAGCCTAGGACTTGCCAATCAGAAGGTTGGTGGTTCGAAACCCCGTTACGGGGTGAGCTCCCATTGCTCGGTCCCTGCTCCTGCCAACCTAGCAGTTCGAAAGCACGTCAAAGTGCAAGTAGATAAATAGGTACTGCTCTGGCAGGAAGGTAAACGGCATTTCCGTGCACCACTCTGGTTCACCAGAAGCGGCCACATGACCTGGAATCTGTACTCCGGCTCCCTCGGCCAGTAAAGCGAGATGATCACCGCAACCCCAGAGTCGGTCACAACTGGACCTAATGGTCAGGGGTCCCTTTACCTTTTTAAGCCTCGCACTCACCCAGTGCACACACAATGCAGTGTGTCCAGGACCCAACATCGCCCCAGCCTCAGAACCCAACACCCAGGAGATGAATGTTAGGAAGCCGCAGAGGAGCTGGAGTTGGCATAAAGCTAATGGTGGAGCAACTGTTGCCTTGGCAACATACCGAGTGGCTTCCAAGCCAAAACCACAGGGATCAGTGCCTCTGTTGCCACGGCGATGGGGACTTGATGCCCAAGAAGGCAAACCCCAGGTGACTTGTGGGAATTAGGTGAGGGGCAGCCTGGATGCAAAGCCTGCCAGTGTCTAGCATTGTTGTTGTTGTTTCAATTTATATACCACCCTTTATCAAAAGATCTGAGGGCGATGTACAACACTGAAAAAAACATTACAGAACTTCAGTAAGAAAAGCATAATAAAAACATACTGACCTAGAGACAATGATAAAGTAGTTAATGGCAGTCCTCTCCCCCACATTGTTGAAGGCCGTGGATTATTTAATAGCCATAGGTTCGTATAGTTAAAGCTATGGATTTCCCAGTAGTGATGTATGGAAGTGAGAGCTGGACCATAAAGAAGGCTGATCACCGAAGAATTGATGCTTTTGAATTATGGTGCTGGAGGAGACTCTTGAGAGTCCCATGGACTGCAAGAAGATCAAACCTATCCATTCTGAAGGAAATCAGCCCTGAGTGCTCACTGGAAGGACAGATCCTGAAGCTGAGGCTCCAATACTTGGCCACCTCATGAGAAGAGAAGACTCCCTGGAAAAGTCCCTGATGTTGGGAAAGATTGAGGGCACAAGGAGAATGGGACGACAGAGGATGAGATGGTTGGACGGTGTTCTCGAAGCTACCAGCAAGAGTTTGACCAAACTGCGGGAGGCAGTGGAAGACAGGAGTGCCTGGCGTGCTCTGGTCCATGGGGTCATGAAGAGTCGGACACGACTAAATGACTAAACAACAGCAACAGGCCTTGGTAAAGAGGCATATTTCTTCCTGGTGCCCAAAGACATGTAATGACGGTGCCAGGCGAGCCTCTCTGGGGAGAGCGTTACACAGTGGGGTGAGGAGGGCTCGGCTGTGTTTCCCTGGAAGCACCCAGGTAGAGAGTACAGGGAGGAGCTGGAGGAGGCATATGGGTAAGAGTGACCCCCAACCACATCCCCACAGCTGAGGATATGAGCAGGAACAGGTGCCAAGCTTAAATGGGGGGAAAGGAAGTGAGAATCACACTTCAGATGCCCAGACATGATCCCAGCTGCCCTTGGCAGCGACGGGAACATTTCATTGCTTTCTATTCTGCATGCATGTGGACGTGACGGAGCAGACACTCGTGTAGTGTGTTTGTGACAAGAGATATATGCAGGGCTATGTATCTCGATTGCGAAGGTGTCGCGTCTGAAACAGCTTGCGGTGCTAAGTGATCTCTGTGCTTTCCGTGGCAAATTTAGTTAATCATAAATGGCTTTGTGTTCCCGGGAAACTTGACTATTTTAACTGCCAGTTCTGGAACTGTTTTTGTCAGTTACAGCTTTGCTTTTCCATTTGAGTGGGAGTGAGACATCTCTATAGTCCATAAACATCTGTTGCATAAATGCAGAAAAGGGGGGAAGGGAGGGGAAAGAGCACAGCAAACTCTTCAGAGAGGTGGCATTGTTAGTGAGTGGTTCAGGGGCTTTATGCCATGCCCTGGGCCTTCTGCACTCCCTCTTCTTATGAACTTTAAAAAAAGCTAGCATACAGGTTGACTTGGTGTGCTGGAAAACACAGTGAGACCCTACCACTCACACATTTAATTTGCTTTCCCGTTGTGGCACAGAGTCTGTCGCTCAATGGTTGCTCGATGTTCCTGCAGTGTATCGACTGCTGACAGGGGACTTGTAAGTATATGCAGTATCTGACTGGGAGGGAGAAGAAGGACTCAACTACACAACTGCAAATAAAACGTTTTAAATGTAAATTGCAATATACAAATGTGACACTAGATGGCGACAGTGAGCTATGCAAAATTCAATGTGTTTTTCAAAATGTGTATTTTTAAAAAAGCATTTTCTCAACTTTTTTTAATATGGGTGTAGATTCCACCGAAGTGCGTGTGAATGAGGGAGAAGTCATGTTAGGTGTTGGATGGGAAACTCTAAGAATTGTTGCTGTGTGATGGGAACAGGGGTTCTAAGAACTCTCAGCGCCCTCCACAAACTGCAGTTCCCATGATTCTTTGTGGGAAGGTGTGGCTATTTAAAGTGGTATTGTTGTTGGCATTCGTCTATTGGGAGAGAAACATTGGGGTGCACCTCCAAGGGTGAAGCCAAACCTATGCGTTGACAGCACTGAAGTGAGCTCTGTGGGGCACAAGCCTGGGCAATGTGAATGGAGATCTTGGGATGCCCAGACAACAAGGCCCCTTCTTGGCCTCACTGATGTTGTCCAAAGGAAAGCAGAGCAATACATTTGGCACCAGCTTGGTCCCAGGAGTTGCCAAGATGTGGCTTACAAGGCACCATCCAACCACCTTAGGGACTCTACTCCAGATTTGTGTGGTCTTTACTCCTTAGCCTTTTCTTCTCCCGAAATTGTGCCCCAAGGCAGTGGAGGTGTGGCGATCACACAGGGTCCCCGGATGTTTGACGGTCTATTGATCCCTGTGCCACCACTGTGATTGCCTTTTCACTGCCACCAACCCGTTTCTCACGGGTACACACGGAGTCCAGACAGTTGTTAACATTAACAAATAATCAAGTTTATTTTTATAAGCATGAACAAGTTTAAGGTTTCAGTTAATTTTTCTTGTCAGTTTCTTAATCTTAGTTACTTTACTGACCTATTCATTCCTAACAACTTCAAACTGATTATCCCAACTATCTATCTGACTCCACCTAATAGTTCCTCTCACTCTCTCACCACACAACTCGACCAACCCACAGACTTATCCTCCCTCTTTCTTCTCCAACTCCCAACCCTCAACTGACTTCCACACAACACCAACTCTAACTCCTCCCCTTGAGTTCCCACTGGCCAATCACATCACACTCATTTAACCCTTTCCTTATGACCCACTTAGGAGGCAAACGCCACAGGAGGTACACAGATTCATCCATCCCTTCATCCAATTTGCATACAGCAGGTGTGGGGAACCTTTGCCATTCCAAGTGATTCCGAACTACAACTCCCATCATTCCCGCCATTGGCCCTGCTTTCTGGGGCTGATGGGAGTTGTAATCCAACAGCATCTTGAGACCCAAAGGTTCCCCACACCAGGCATACAGCAAACCCAGAAATATTGTTGCCACCCTGTAGATCAGAGTAAGCATTGAGAGCAATAACTTTTTACCCTCTGAAAATTGGCCTGAACTTGGATCTACGCAGATAAATTGGCATACACAGATGTTATGTAAATGTATGTCATGGTCTTGGGTCCCGAGTCTTTTTTTAAAGGCCAGCAAAACCCCTGCTGCAACGCGACAAGATGGGCTTTTAGAGTCATTAAAATTTCATAGCCATTTCCAGCCAAACCATTCAATAACTCATTACCAATTAAAAACTCTGATATTGCACTGTACGGAAAAGCCGGCTCCTTCTTGTTGTTGTTTTTTGGGGGGAGGACCTCTGGGAGAGATGCATGTGTGTGTTGTGGTGTGAATTTTACTTAGTGTAAGAGAAATGGGCCCTTAATGCCATCTTGCGTTTCCTTCCAGATTTCACACCTTCAGGGAACGCTTCCAACAATAGTTTGTTTGCCAAGGAAAGCCTGCATTGTGTGTTATTTTATAAACATCTAAAAGCACATGAAACTGTCAATAGAAGGTTTGTAGTGGTGTAGCCCTTTCCTGTAAAGTAATTTGCATAAAGCTGGGATACTTTGTGACTTACAATGTCACCTGAAAATCCTGTGTTCTTGTGTTATGTGACGTGTTCCTCACTCTGATGGGCCTCAAACGTATATCGGTTTTCAAACAGCTCCTAAACCCCATCCCAAATCTATGGAATTTATTTTCCTCTTGTCCTTTGTTGAATATCAACTTCTTGTGAGCTGCTTGTGGAAGCAGGCCCTCCAAATCCATCCTTCAGTGTTGGGTGGGTTGAGCAATTTCTGGCGTTGGAAGGGTTTTTCGCCATTATTTCTGATGTTAGCACTAGGAATGTTTGCAAAGTCACTTAAATAATGTAGGGTCCAAAGAGAAAATAAATCTCAATAATACTTTACTAAGCAAACTTAACAAGAACAGGGTATTAATTATAACATGAGGTTTATTCCAGGGAGAAGTTCAATCAAACATACAGCAGAAAAACTCCCTTGGAATGACACAGCCAATTAGAACATGTGTTGCCTCACCAGAGATCCTGCTACCCTGACTAGTTGCTAAGTAACACCTCCAGCCATCCCCCTCTTGGCTAGTTGACTTTCTGATAATAGAATTAAGCCTCAAGTAACACACAGTATGATCTCTGCTGTTGCACTTCCAACAGAGAAGTCTCACAACAAGCTTCTGAGGAACTCCCAGGTTCCTCGGGAATAGCTAGAAAATACTTTGCTTGATTGACAGCGTTGTTCTAAGTCTCCTCTTGCATTACACTGGTACCTCTGGTTAAGAACTTAATTTGTTCTGGAGGTCCATTCTTAACCTGAAACTGTTCTTAACCTGAGGTACCACTTTAGCTAATGGGGCCTCCCACTGCTGCCGC